TTCAAGATCTGGTTTATTTAAAAGTATATTTATATATCGTCAGGGACGGTGCATTTGAACTGTGTTTTCTCGTTAGGAACGGGTTATTTTGGATTATATTTCACTTCAAGATCTGGTTTATTTAAAAGTATATTTATATCGTCAGGGCGGTGCATTTGAACTGTGTTTTCTCGTTAGGAACGGGTTATTTTGGACTATATTTCACTTTCAAGATCTGGTTTATATTCAAGTATATTTTATCGTCAGGGACGGTGCCTTGGAACTATATTTATTGTTAGAAACGGTTATATCTGACTATATTTACTCACGATCTGGTTATTGTAAAGTATATGGATCATCAAAGCAGGGGCGGCGGAACAGGGGGGGCTAGGGGGGCTAAAGCCCCCCCAGAAGTAAAAGTGGGGGGGCTTAGCCCCCCCCAGAAAATTTGAATTTTTGGAAAAAATTTTGATAATTAGGGGAAAATTTAGGTTATTTTTTGAAAATTTAGGTATAAGGAGACAAATTTGCAATATTTTGTTTAAATAAAGTGTATTTCCGAAAAAAATTTTTGATATAAGTCCGACAAAATTTTTTTCGTCCCTCTTTTTGTATATTGCACCCCTAAAGTGGTACACTAACCGAATTTTTTTTCGCCAAAAAAAATTTAGCCCCCCCAGAACGAAATCTGTTCCGCCGCCGCTGCATCAAAGACGTATGTCTTCTCGTTAAGAACGAGTATTTTGGAGTAAATTTCACCTGAAGGTCGATATTTCACTTGAGGGATAATTTATATCGTCTGGGACAGTGTATTTGTATAATACAGAGTATTCTTGTTTAACAGAATATTGGAGTATATATATTGTCGAGGACGGTGAGTTTGGACTATATTTATTGTCAGGGAACATAAGTTGTTAATTTTATTCAGGAAAATATATTTCTGGGTACATTTGTATTATAACTCATACTGAATGATCAACAGCAATGTCTGTGCGATCGTGGCCAACAGCACGTGATAGGGAACCAACTGAGGTTAACCCAGCCAGGTCCGAGCCCGGACAAGGATGCCTTGAAGGAACATGGAGAGGTGTTCGGTTAGAAAAAGAAGAAATAGAAAAGGAGAAGATAAATGCCTTGTTTAAGACTCGTATTCACTTAATGAACACCCTCACAGAGACGAAAGGATGGATACAGAAGGCAATTTATGCTGGTGAACCAGTGGCTAATATTAAGACAAAGAAAGAGCATTACGATGAATGTTGGAGAGAGTTTGTCAGCAAGCACGAACAATACATGGAGTTACTCGTGAGCGAAGAGGAAAAGGATATTGCAAGTCGAAGTTATAAAGAACTGATGACCAAAAAAATGCATTTGGATGAAATAGTGATGTCTTTACGAAGGAGACTAGAGCTAGAGTCAAGACAAAAGGAAGAAGATGCTAGTTCATTCTCGGGAAAATCAAGGCGAACTTTGGCAAGTAAGTCAAGTCACAGTTCAAAATTTTCAACTGTGTCAAAAAGGAAAGAACAGTTAGCGCTCGCTCAGTTGAAGAGAAGCCAACTATTGAAACAGCACGAACTCGAACGAAGAATGACAGAGTTGAATTTCGAGAAAGAATATATGGAAGCCCGAATGGAAGAGGAACGAGCAATTGTAAGTTTGAATGTTTATGAGAATGAATCAGATAACAATTCTGAGCATGAAAATGTTAACAAAAACACACTCCCTATGAATCAAGGGCAAGGACTATCACCCCTTTCACAACCTTATGTACCACAAGAGCAAATAGTACAAGGGACTAATATATCTTCACCCCAAGTTTGTAAGGTATATTCACCCGAAAGGCATGCTGAACAGTACAATGTGCCATTGCAACTGACACAGACATACCCTCAACAAGAACAACCGGTACAGTCAATTAATATCCCTTCACGACAAGTTTCTGAGACATATTCACCCAAAAGGCAAGTCGAGCAGTGTAATATGCAATTGCAACCCACCCAGACGTATATTCAGCACGAACAACCCCTACAGTCACCTAATATACCTTTATCGCAGATTCCTAGAACAGATTTACCCGAAGGGAAGGTCCAACAAAACACACAGTTAAAGAGATAGATACAGGGGAAGAGATGGTGAGAGCACTGCGACAAGTTGTGTCTATGCCAAAAATTAAGTACATGCACTTTGATGGTGATGCAATTAATTATGCTTCCTTCATGCATAATTTTGAAACATGCCTAGAAAAGGACAACCCTGATAATCCCACTCGTTTGCAATTCTTGATTCAACACTGCAATAGTAAAGCCCGTGATGCAATTGAAAGTTGTGTAAACTTACCAGCTGAAGAAGGATATACAACTGCAAAGAAAACGCTGTATGAGAACTTTGGAAAACCGCACATAATCGCACGAGCACATATTAATAAGTTGCAGAACTTACCACCATTGAAACAAGCCAATGGAGCAAGTTTGCTGGAGTTTTCCAGGCACTTAGAGGTTGCAGATAGAACGTTGAGAAGTATGGGGCCTGGACAGAGCGTGCTGGTACGACGATTGAATCTGGCTCTAAGTTTAAAGATTTCCTCCACTTCGTGAAGAAAAGAGCAACGCTTGTAAACAATGAGTTTGGGGAAGATCTTTGTGCGAGTCTTGTTAAACCGAAGGAAAATGTGAGGAGAAAAGATGGATCGAGAGAACCCTCCCGAAGATCATCTTCATTTGCATCCGGCTTGGATAATCGACAGAGTCATAAGAACGGAAGTGGGAATTCGATACGATGCACGATGTGTTCTGGCAACCATAGAATTTGGAGATGCGATAAGTTCAAGAAACTTTCCTATCAAGAGAAGAAGAAAGTTGTGCAACAACGAGAACTTTGTCTTAAGTGTCTGAGTGAAGGCCATTATGCGAGAAATGTCCTAAAATTCATTTTAAATGTCTGGTAGAAGGATGCAGTAAAGGACATAACGCATTGTTACACCCACCGCAACCTGAAGCTGTTAAGGAAGAAAAGGAAGACCAGAAACCTCCAGACCCAATTGAAACAACTGGCGGAACAGGAGAACAAGAAGTGAAAGTAACAGTCGCAACTGGGGCCGGCGAAAGAGTGTGCTTAAGTGTTGTTCCTCTTAAAGTACGAGCAAAGGGAAGTAATCAACCCGCCATTGGAGCTTATGTACTCTTAGACAGTGGATCTGAAGTTACGCTTTGCCATGAACGTTTGAAGAAACAACTTGCAGTAAGTGGAAGGAAGCTGGACTTCACATTGTCAGGCATGACCGGATCGACCAAAGTAAGAAGTGAATTGATAGACATTGAGGTGGCCTCACTGGATGGTGAGATACTGATCGAGTTGTCAAACGTTAGAACTGTCAATCAAATGCCGATCTCGGAAGCCTGCATTGCAAAGAAAGGAGACGTTCGAAGTTGGTCTCATTTACGTGATCTGCCATTACAAGAGTTGGAAACTAGAGATGTTATGTTGGTCATTGGACTTCAAGAGAACCCTTCCATGTTTTTGCCTTTGGAATATCGATCTGGAGAAGAAAGGGATCCTGTGGCAATCAGATACAGTTTGGGTTGGACTGTGATTGGGCCCGTTGGTGAAAAAATGGATGGCATGTGTGCGACATCCAATTTTGCTAGAATGTCTGTCAACGCTGATGATCTTTCAACTGAAGATCGTGCGTTTGAAAGTCTGAAGGAAGCGAGTTAGTTTCTTACAGGAGATCGTGCCATGGAAGAAAGTGAGCATGTAATGAAGGGTAGAACTGAAGAAGTTAAAGAAGTTGAACGTGTTCAAGTTGATCGTGAAAACACGGATGAAGATCTAAAACACCAATTAGAAAGGCTGTGGAAAACAGACTTTGAAGGTTCTTTAGTCGAAACCAAGGTGTGCCCGTCGGTGGAAGATAAGAAAGCGCTACAAATAATGGAAAAAACACTGAAGATAGTGGACGGTCATTTTCAAGTTGCTCTGCCCTGGAAGAATAATCCACCATATTTGCCCAACAACAAGATTGTTGCAGAAAGACGGGGTTTGCTTCTGAAAAAACGCCTCCTCCGCGATGACGAACTGTTGAAAAAGTATCGGACAACGTTTAATGAGTACCTTGAAAAGGGTTACGCTGAGAAAATCCCTAAAGAGCAATTGAACATGGAGAACAGACCGATCTGGTATGTCCCGCACCACCCGGTTACGCATCCCCTAAAGCCCGAAAAGGTTCGAGTGGTATATGATTGTGCAGCAAGTTATGGACGAACGTCGTTGAATCAACAGCTCTTGCAAGGTCCAGATCAAACAAATCAACTGACTGGCGTGCTTATCCGATTCCGAGAAGAATCTGTTGCAATGGTTGCAAATGTAGAAGCAATGTTCCACCAGGTCTTGGTGGAACCCCGCGATTGTGATGCACTACGGTTCTTATGGTGGCCGAGCGATGATCTTTCTGGCGAGATGGAGGAATATAGAATGACAAGACACCTATTCGGGGCTACGTCTTCGCCTAGTGTTGCTAATTTCTGCTTGCGTAAAACAGCAGAGTTATATCAAGCTGAATTTAACCCTGTGGCTATAGAGACGGTGAAACGTAATATGTATGTCGACGATTTGATGAAATCATCGAAGGAAACAAGCGAGGCGATAGGCTTAGTGAGTCAACTGCGCCATTTACTCGAAAAGGGTGGTTTTCGTCTCACAAAATGGTACAGTAATAGCAGAGAGGTGATGAAAACGATTCCCGAAACAGAAAGAGCCAAATCTGTGAAAGATTTAGAATTGGACCGGCTGCCTACCGAAAGCGCTCTTGGCATCAAGTGGAATACCGAAGAAGATAAATTTGAGTGGCATGTCTCGGAGAAAATGTTGCAGTTAGTAAACGAAGCTTCGGTCACTCGGCGAGCGATCGTATCAGCTGTTTATTCACTCTTCGATCCTTTGGGGTTTATTGCACCCTACGTAATGAAAGCGAAGTTGTTGCTACAGATGTTATGTAGAAAGGGAGTTGGATGGGACGATCCACTTCAAGAAAACGAGAAGGCGCAATGGAAACGATGGTTGGCTGACCTTCCAAAGTTACAAGCAATACGTGTAGATCGCTGTTTCAAACCCGTTGGATTTGGCGTTGTCAAGGAAATACAGCTACACCTCTTCTCAGACGCCTCGCGACTTGGCTACTCGGCAGTTGCATACCTCCGTTTAGAAGATACCAATGAACAGATTCATTGCGCGTTTGTTATGGGAAAGGCTAGGCTTGCTCCCTTACGAGAGATTTCAATTCCAAGATTGGAACTAACCGCTGCAGTTATCTCCGTGAGACTTTCCAAGATCATACAAGAAGAGTTGGACCTGGAGATAGAAAGAATTTACTACTGGACAGATTCGATGTCTGTCCTGAAGTGCATTAACAACGAAAGCAAGAGATTCCACACCTTTGAATCCAACCGCCTAACAGTAATCCGTAGTGGCTCTGATCCCTCCCAGTGGATGTATGTGAACCGAGATGACAACCCTGCCGACGACGGTTCCAAGGGAGTTAAATTGGACGCCATGATATCTAATGATCGGTGGCTAAATGGTCCTGAGTTTCTTTTGAAGGACGAAACACACTGGCCTACGATGGTTCAAGTCCCGGTTTTGAAGTCTGATGACCCCGAAGTGAGAAAGGAAGCTCAGATTTACGCAACCACAGTAAGATGTAACGTCTTGGAGAAGTTGATCTCACATCACTCCAGCTGGTGGAAGTTGAAATGCTCGGTTGCATGGTTATTACGCTATAAAGAATGTCTTCGAGCCAAGGTGAAGCTAAAGAAGAGCTCAGTCGTGGTCGATACTGAAGTCGAGACAACAGCGAATGTTGGACGTCTTACGATAGAAGAATTGAAGAAGGCTCAAGATGAAATCCTTCGACATGTGCAACTAACTGCGTTCCCGGAAGAATTGAAGAAGGCTCAAGATGAAATCCTTCGACATGTGCAACTAACTGCGTTCCCAGAAGAATTGAAGATACTCACGGTTGCTGAACGTGCTAAGAAACCGGATAAAGTATTCCTCCGGAAGACAGGAATGTCACTTCGACAGTTGAATCCACAATTAGAAGACGGATTGTTAAGAGTTGGCGGTAGACTCGTTAACGCGCCAATCGATGGTGATTTAAAGCATCCGATTATTTTGCCCTTCAAACATCCAGTTACAGAAATGGTAATTCGTCAGTACCATGCGGAAGTGGGACACATGGGTCAAGAGTCCGTCCTTTCTTCATTAAGGAAAGAATTTTGGATCGTGAAAGGAAGAACGGCGGTACGACGTGTGGTGCGAAGCTGCATTAGTTGTCAACGGAGAAAGGCTCGTTTGGGAGAACAGTTTATGGCGAATTTACCGAAAATCCGTCTAACGCCCCATCAACCACCCTTTACGCGTGTCGGAGTTGATTATTTCGGGCCATTACAAGTAAAACAAGGACGATCGGTTGTCAAACGATATGGCTGCCTTTTCACGTGTATGACAACGCGAGCAGTGCATATAGAGATCGCGCATTCATTGGACACCGATTCTATGATAAACGCCCTCAGAAGATTTATCAGCATACGAGGTTGCCCAGAAGAGATAAAGAGCGACAATGGAACGAATTTTGTGAGTGCTGACAAGGAACTGAACCGAAGCATTGAAGAATGGAATCAGACGACGATCCACAATTTCTGCACACAAAGAAGAATAAAATGGGACTTTAACCCACCGTCTGCGAGTCATATGGGCGGCGTATGGGAGCGTTTGATAAGGTCAACGAGACAAGTTTTGAGAGCTATTCTAAAGGAACAGTTGGTTTCTGATGAAGTCTTGCAGACCGTGATGGCTGAAGCAACCCAAATCTTGAACTCAAGACCTCTCACAAGAAACAGCGACAGTCCTATGGATGAAGATCCATTAACTCCAAATCATCTACTACATTTACGCCCGACGTCGAGTTTACCTCCCGGTGTATTCGACAAAGATGAATTGAGTTGCAGAAAAAGCTGGAGACAGGCACAGTATCTTGCTAATGTATTCTGGCGTAGATGGATAAGAGAATATTTACCAAGCCTAATCGAAAGAAAGAAGTGGAATATCCCAAGAAGAAACTTAAAGATAGGAGATTTGGTGCTCATAGCAGATGAAAACTACCCAAGAGGACAATGGCCATTGGCAATGGTGACGGAAGTTATGTCGAGTAAAGACGGTTATGTACGCACTGTGAAAGTAAAGACCAGTTCGACTGTATCAACCCGAGCGAAACACCGAAGAAGGGGAGAGAACAAAATCAATACAACGATACTAACACGGCCTGTGGCGAAGTTGTGTTTGCTTGAAATGGACGGAGAGTAATCTGGCTAGGACTATGAATGAGCGCGTTGAACTAAACAGTGAAATTTGACAATTTATATTATATTTGTGTTATAGGTTAAGAACGGTAGCCTTCATCGAGTTAGTAAATGGACTATTAGTATGTGCCCATTTAGGGGCCGGTGTAGCTACCGTATGGATTTTCCCGCCTTGCGCATGCGCAGTGGACGCATTTTGGCATGGCAAATAGGGCGGCCATGTTGCTTGTTTTAGTTTTTGTTTAGTCGTAGAACCAAACGGTTCTAAACGTAATAGTAAAGGTACAAGTAAAAGTAAACGTTAAATTTGATAATTTTACGTAAGATTTGTATAATGTGACGTTTGTTTCAAATATATGATAATTTTATTCAACATCAGGTGCTATAGTCGGACTATAGTAACACACCCACTTAGATAAGGTGTTACATGCAAATAACTATGCTGCCATAAATTGAAGTACAAACATTTTGACAAGTATATTTCCATAATATTTGCATCACACACGTAGCGACAACTCTTCTGGGCTAAAGTGTCGGCTCTTTGCAGTTGGCTATAAATAGTTGAGAGCAATAAGTGACTGAATAGGATGGAAAGCTGTGGAATAACCGAGTTTTTAATAAAGAATATCTATATGTTATAACTACAGTCATGCTTGCACGAGTCACATAATATTTTTCTTCACTTTAACCTTTCCTGCATCTCGAAATTTTACCAATAAATTAAAAATTTTACCGACTGTATCTTGAAATATTTTTAAAATTTTCCTCATTAGCATTTAGTACACGACGTCCGCACGAGGTTCAACACGGTGTATAGCTTAGTTCAGATGAGCTTACAATCCAACACTTTGTGAACAAACCCACAGATACTGGCCTCGAATGGCGTTTCTCCATATAAATATCTCCCTCTCCCCCAAGTGAATGTTGAAACGGATATAATGTGGATATGCATGCAAAATAAAATTGTTTGAGTGTTAAATTTAACGTTTTGACAGTGAAATATTTTAAGTATTTAAAAATGCAGATATGCAACATTGAGGATGGGGAGTGAGGGATATGCCTGTAAAGTCAAGTTTTAGCTGTTTGTTAGCATTTTTGCGAAAGTGGATTAGGTTTCAACATTAATTTTGGCCTGGATTGTAGCTCAAATTAGCTCTCAAGTGTGGCCGCAACAATTTGAGAGCTAATTTGTATGAACACTATCCGCTGATCGTCGTGATCGATCGTAAAACGTAACATCAAATATGAAATAAACGAGAGTAATTTACAAGTGTTTTCGGTATTTCCCACCACAAGGGGACGAAATTTTCGCCAAAAAACTTGAAACTCCATATGTAGGAGAATTCACAAAGGACACAATAGGTCTCAATCGAATTTCCGATTTATAGATTTTCGGTAAACCATAAGAAAAACGGAGATAGTCCATCACTGCTGTATAACTTTTCATATATGTAGCCATTTGCCTTTGCCATCGAAGGGCCTTTTTTTACCTTCAAAGTGCCATTTGCTTTTGCTATCGAAGGGCCATTGCCATCGACAGGCCTTTGTTTCGAAGTGCCCTTGCCTTTGCAAGGCCTTTTCCTAGAAGCCAACCCTCCACTCCACATATAATGCTTCAAAACACTCCATAGCTTTAACCGCGGCAACATTCTCTGTCCTAGACTCGAAGTGTCTTCGTCTTTCAAAGTGCCAGTGCCTTTTTTAACTATATATCTGGGGGGGGGGGGAGCAATTGCCCCCCCCCCAGGGAAAGAATTTGCCCCCTCAGTAAAGCCATTTCTGCCCCCGAAGTGCGAAGCAGAATTGCTCATGATTGCTGTCAGAATTGCAGTTGATTTACTTGATAATGAGATTATGCCCTTCCATAGCCTCCTCCACAGCCATCTTGTGTGTAATTCATATTGTTCTTCACCGAGTATTTCATAATAGCGATAGATTTCATGCAAACAATCCGATAAAATGCTAGCCTTTCCAAGCCTTGCGACTATTTCCTAGCACTCTCCTCCGCAGAGGCGTTGCGTTTTGTTTTGGGAGGTTTTATTGCAAAATTTTTTTCTTAAAAATATCAAGTTATATTAAGAGCCCCCCCCCCCTCCCCAATCGCCACAAAAACCATTCTCTCAGAAAGTACACGTTACATGCTCGAAGCTGAAACTGATTAAGTTCGTCTCGACTGAGGAAAAAGACGATATACTGGAGGAACTTGATTTGGGAAATCTCGTTAAAGCAGTTGTAGATATGGTTCCAAGAAGAATAGATTTAGTTTAGATTTTTAACTGTTAAATACATGTATGTATCATCATAGCATGAATATTTCTTCTCAGACTTATTCTGTATCGTATGAAAAAGCAACGCAATTTTGAGAATGCGGAAATGGTGTCTTATATAACCTAAAATGATTTAAATGCAACATTTCTGATCAAAATCACATTGGGATTCCCCCCCCCCCCAGCATCACAGAGAGGAAATAAGGTGACACTGACCCCTCCTCCTATTTTTCAAGGTGACTTTTCCAATTCATTTAATTCCGAGTAGAAATGTCTGGAAAAATTCATGTCTTCGATGTACTTTATAATCTTCGGAATTCCGCTAGATTTCACCCCCAAAATGCATGAAATCGCAATTCAGAGACCCTAGATTTCAAAATTTTCCGGACCCCGGACCCTCCTAGACGGTCTCACGCCTTCGGCGTGAGGTTGTACGATTGTAATGATAGTACGATTGTACGATGTAAGCAAACATCCTCATTTCTCACAATTGCTCGAGTCTTGGCCATGGTGCGGTTGGGTCGGAGGATTTTGCATCACCAGAGAGTCTAGGACGTAGAATGTTGCCGCGGTTAAAACGTTGGAGTAGTTTGAAGCAAAATACAATATGTGGAGCCATTGTTTGCTTCAAACTGAAGGCCAGGGCAAAGGCCATTTGGGAATACAAAGGCAAAGGCCCATCGTATGCAAACGCTCTTGGAAAGGAAAGGCGCTTGGAAGGGAAAGGCGCTTCGAATCTTAAGGAAGAGATGGTTTAAAAACCTCTCATCTAAATTAAGAGCTAAGTGAGTTGGAAAGGAAGGGCCTTGAACACGGCCAAAACTTGCGGTTGGTGCCTAACAGAATTCCAACAGCCGAAATCATTGCTTCTGTTGAAGAAGGAATTTTTCAGCTGGACGATGATGCTAAGCGATTGGTTAGAGCTGAGGTCAGTAACATTCTCTTAGGAAATCCAATATTATCATCAAGGCTACGCATGAAAAGTTATACATCAGTGATAAACCTCCACGTTTCTATGGTTTACCGAAAATCCATAAACCGGATATTCCATTGAGACCTATTGTGTCCTTTGAGAATACTCCTACATATGGAGTTTCAAGTTTTTTCAAGAAAATTTTGTCTCCTGTGGTGGGAAATACGGAAAACACGGTAAAAATTCCTGTCTTTTTACAGAATTTGTAAGAGGTAAAAATCTTAAAGCAGATCAAATGTTGATATCATTTGTCGTTTCCTTATTTAAAAAAATCCCAGTTGATCTTGCCATCAAGGTTGCGACAAAAAGACTAGGACAGGATGCCACTTTGTTGCAAAGAACAGTCCCTGCCTATAGAAGATATGAGCAGGAGGTTTAACAGAGAGGAAGTCTTAATATGCAGTATAATTCATAGATCTTTTGAAATATCAGGTTCTGCACCAGTCCACAGTTAGTCAGACCGGCAGAACTATAATCAGGCTCAGTTGCACACTGCTTAAAAAAACAAGCAAACAATGATGTTGAAAGTGTTTGTACAAACTGTAATAACATATCATGCTTGCAGTCATATATAACGCAGCTTTTTTATATTTAGATAATGTAATTCCTATAAAATCTTGGTTCGCAGATCCATCAGATACAGCACTGTTAAATATTTACCAATGTTGGATTCTCTCAGTGCATGATCTGAAATAAGACTGGAATAAAGCATCGTATTGAATTTAATAGCAATTCGATTTTGAAGCCGGAATATTTTAATGAGATGAGCTTTATAAATCAGTCAAATTTTTCATGACCAGTCTAATCGTTTGCTGCTTAAGTTCAGTTAGACTATAAAGCAAATGTCATTGCCTATGTGACTTGTGAAATATAGCTTCTAAAGCATCTTGGAAAGAGTTTTAGAACGTTTATACACCACATAATGAGGCTTATGGCGGCCATATTTGATGCCCCCTCCGCCATTAGTTATTCACCGGCTAATTTAGGAACAAAGAGAGGCTACTGTGATAAATTCTTTTCTAGGCAATATTATACACTTAATGTCTGCTCCCGAGGGAAATAGTTAGTTTTGTTTTCCCGAGAATCTCAATGTTTCCCGAGACGAAGTCGAGGGAAAATTAAGATTCGAGGGAAAACAAAACTAACTATCTCCCGAGGGAAGAGGCATTAAGTGTTTTGTTATACAAAACTATTGAAATCACCAATAACAATTTGATTGTTAGAATTTGAATGCCTTAGCGCTCTGTTGGTTCCCACGAGTGCATAAATGATTGACATAAGTAAAGTTTATGCATAAAGAAACTGTTTAAGAAGCTTTTTTTTCTGTGCTGGTGTTGTGTACTCAGGTGAATAATATGTTTGTGATGTTACTCTGAGTGCATATCCACACCGGGCAATCTTGAAAAATATGCCCGGCCACGGTGGGATTCGAACCTACGACCTTTGGAATACTAGCCCAATGCTCTTCCAACTGAGCTACGCGGTCAGGACGGTTCGAGTAAGTGATATTTCGGAACAGTATCTAGTTCCTTCAATACCAATGTGTTCTTGTAATATGAACTCAGAGTGTAATATGCACTCAGAGTAACATCACAAACATATTATTCACCTGAGTACACAACACCAGCACAGAAAAAATTCATATTACAAGAACACATTGGTATTGAAGGAACTAGATACTGTTCCGAAATATCACTTACTCGAACCGTCCTGACCGC